CCCGCGACCTTGAAGCTATGCAAAGCGAATCAACAGTGGTGACGTCACCGATGGATATCGCGGTTGCTAGGCAGCAGTCAACAACTCCGGACAGCGTGGCTAGCAACATGGCACCAGACGACAATTGTCCGATCAAGTCTACATAAGGAGCCGCGAAGGCTATTCACAGTCAGTGAGTTAGTCCTGGAGCTACCTCCGAGTCAGTCCTGGAGCTACCTTTCCGAGTTAGCCAGCAACCAGTCAGTTGTATTCTGGCATTTGGAGTGTAGTATTTGTGATACTGCAGATAGCAATAATTGTGAATCTGTAATTTGGGTGATTGTAAGTGCGAATGTGAAATAAAATTCGCTATACCAAATACGGCGTGAAGTTATTTGTTGCATTATATGCCCAATACGCGACAATATCATTCTTAACACAATAGAAAGCTTTTGCTAGATCACAGAAAATCCCTCCCACAATTAATCTGTCATTGAGAGCACTTAAAATATCGTTAGTTAGTTCATAGGTTGCTTTTTCTGTTGTTAGGTCTTTCCTAAATCCAAATTGCTCTTTGACTAATATGTTGTTAGAATTTAAGTGTTCAAGTAGTCTATTATACATAACTTTTTCAAAGACTTTTGAGAATGAAGTCAATATGGATATTGGTCTGTAATTAGAGATGCATTTTCTCTCTCCTTTTTTAAAAAGTGGTTTCATTACAGCGTATTTTAAGCGTTGAGGAAAAGTACCTGATGATAAAGATTTATTACATAGATGATTCAAGGGTGAACTGATGTAAACAGAGCTTGCTTTAAGTAATTTGGTAGAGATTTCATCATATCCATGTGAATTTTTGGGCTTAAGGGATTTAATAATGTTTTCAATTTCCTTCCTTGTTGAGAATTTGAGATTGATATTTGGAAATGAATTGTTAAAGGCACGAGACAGATAGTATATTGGATTATTATTATTATTATTATTATTATTATTATTATTATTATTATTATTGGAATATGTTTTCTCAGCTAATGAAAGGAAATATTCATTAAATGCACTTGCGATAGCTTGTGGATTGTTAGTGGACTTCCCTTCAATATTCAAACTTTGTACGTCTTCATTAACAGATTTCTTTCCTGATTCAACTTTCACAATATCCCAGGTGGTTTTAATTTTATTGTTTGATTTTAGAATTTGGCTGTTATAGTTATTCTGTTTGGCTTCTTTAATGACTTTTGACAAAATTTTACAGTACATTTTGTAGTGACTTTTTAGTCTTGGATCATTACTGTCCCTACTGGCCAAATATAGTTGTCTTTTGTGTTTACATGAAGTTTTTATTCCAATTGTTATCCAGGTGGATTTGTTTTTATTTTCATTTTTGACTATTTTTAAGGGAAAGCTTGAATAAAAGATCCTCAAGTATGTGTTCAGAAAGCAATTAAATTTAGAATCAATATTATTGCTGTCAAATACATTGTCCCACGATTCATTACTTAATTTTGTGACAAAATCTGCCATCGTATGCTTGTTGATTTTCCTTACTGTTTTATATTGTTGATTACTGGGCTGAAAGTCAATATTATTTATTTCTATGAGTTGAGCATCATGATCGGATAAGCCATTTATAAAGGGTCCTACAGTATAGTCTCTTAATTTTGAGTTATCAATGAATATATTATCTATCGCTGAACTAGAATTATTTTGAACTCTTGTGGGAAAGTTAACAGTACTGGAGAGATTGTAAGATGATAACAAAGAGTCTAAATTTAGTTTCCTATTACTGTCGATGAGATAGTTTATATTTATATCACCACAAATTATAAATTCAACTTTTGAACTATGCAGTACATTTAGGATGGTTTCTAATCTATTTAAAAAGTGATTGAAGTTTCCAGATGGGGCTCTATATAAAGTCAGTATACAAATATTTGAAAAAGGAGAGTCTAACTTTAGAGCACATGCTTCCAGATCCTGGTCTTTGCAATAATCTTCTAAATTTATTTTAGTAAATTTTAGGTTTTTGTGTACAAAAATACTCACTCCTCCTTTCTCCAGTGTTTTCCTACAGTATCTAGCACCTAAATTATAATTTTCTAAGTGAAGATGTTCTAATTCCAGCTGTTTCATGTGATGTTCAGTAAGGCACAGTATGTGTGGAAGATTTGAATTCATGGAGCTTATTAGTTCATTTGTTTTGTTTCTCAATCCTCTTATATTCTGATGGAATATTCTTAGTACTTTATTATTCACTGAATTTAGTAGACTGCAATTACCTTTTCCGATTTCTATTGGTTCACTAACATTATTGTCTGAAAGATTAGTTTCTTTTGCAATTTCTTTTACTTGATAAACTTTACTTGCACTCTTTATCCTAAAAAATGATTCTGAACACCCATGACAACTGGAATGTGTCTGCCCTTAATGCTCTCTGCAATGAGTCGCGTCAGCTTGTCCTTGCCTCGAGGATTAAGATGCAAACCATGGACAGTATGTTCGCTCCTCAATATTGAAGAGACATCAATCGCATCAATGTGGGCCGCGCCGACCTCCACAAGCGAACGCTCAAGCCGAAGATTAATCTCCCTTACACACCTGTTAATCCATGGCTTGTCATGTCGCCAGAAAAGACCAACAAACCTCACATTGGTGTGACTAGTTTTCTGGGCAATGTCACTTAAATCTTTCTCAATTTGATAATTGAGGTTTCTCTCCAAACTGTTACCTGGCCCCCCAACTATAACTACCTGATCTTCCTTACTAAAACCTTTGCACAATTTTCCAATGTCCCCAGTGACATTGCTCAGATCAGCATTGGGCTTGAATATGCTGGTCACAGCATATGCATCTCCCATTGCTTTCTGTAGCCTCTGCCCGATACCCCTACCATGACTGCTACCCAGCACTAGAATCTTACGCTTAGGCTTAGCCTCTAACACAGGCTGATCTATAGCGTCACCATCAGTCTGAGGCCCTAGCATAGCTAGAGGTTCAAATCGATTGGTTAAAGCTAACTTAACATCTAGTGAAGAAGGAACTTTTTTAAGTTTTCTTCGGGAGTTGGACACAGTCCTAAATTCTTCAGGACAATTATCTACTAAATTTAATTCCCCTTTTAAGAGGTCAATCTCAGTTCTTGCAAGTTCCAGCTCCCTTTTCAAACTCAAGATAGTCTCCTCTTGTTTCTTTATTACCTTGGCTTGCACACAGGAGTTGCAGTACCAAGGTAATATGGCCAAATCACTATTGGTGCCAGAACACTCCCAATGAAACCACAGGCCACAGTCCTCACATCCTGTCCCCTGGCTAACCTTCCTTCTGCAGGCCCCACATTTACCTGATAAGTCGTTACCCCTTGTGGTCATTATTACCACTTATGTTAACTTATAATTCAGTACTAACTAACAGATATATTTAAAGAGTCTAATTTGTGATTAGAACTTACAAGAGTATATGCTGGCACAAATCTTTTAAGGCCCACTATATACAATGATACACTTATTTTAGGTTAGGCCCACTGGTACACTTGCAATAGTACAAATCAACTTACTAAAGATATAAAATAACACACTTCTTGTAGGTTAGGCCTACTGTACACTTACGAAAATACAAACAACTTATGTAAGATATAAATAACACTTGTGAAAATACAAATCGACTTCCTTAAGATATAAAATAACACACTCCCTGTAGGTTAGGCCTACTGTATACTTACGAAAATACAAATCAGCTTCCTTAAGACAAAGTAACACACTACTTGTAGGTTAGGCCTACCAGTACACTTATGAAAATACAAATCACCGTATTTAAGATATAAAATAACAAGTATGTTTACTAATTCTACTACTAATCTATATTAACAAAAAGTTTAAGTTAAAAAAATGCAGTTTTAGGAGCGTTGAGCAGAAGATCAGATACTAATAGCTCACAATATGGCGGAAAATGGTCTAGGAGCTAAGTGTGGCTTAAGAGTGAGTAAAAAAAAGGAAGAAAACGTTCAGTATAGAAAAAAAATTTAAATATAAGGTTCACTATAGTACACTTGTTAAAGAAGATAACCACTTATTTTTTACTACTGACCAAATTAAACTGCTCTTTTGTACTTAAATTAAGGAGCTCGCAGATTCGCACACTACCACTCAACGCGTCCTTCACAGCATCTGAACATAATTGTGGAAGTCATGTAAATGGTGCACTAAATGTGCCGCATAATCAATTGTGGGTGGTTCCTAGTCAAGGGGGGCAGGGGGCAACAGTATGTTGCCAGGCAGTTGGAGTTCTGTCACAAACACTATGATAGCAGGGCTTAGGAACATAGTGTTGTGAGTGGATGCCCTGTAAGCCAGGAGGATGATGGGTAATCATGCATTCCAGCCTCCCTGGTGCTATGCAATAACCTTCCTTAGGTGCTCCTCAACTGTTTCGATGTAGTGTTCCACCACTTACCAATGCAACATAAGAACAGCAGTTGACAGAGCATCGCAAAATAAATCAAGAACCATACTTGCATCTACATTACATAGTTAAGTGTTCAAACATGCATTTTTTAAATGATCTTCCAAAGTTACTGTATAAAGAAAACCAAAATTTCTTCACATTATATCATTCTCATTTTCCTGATTTTAGAATTTCCTCAATTTTACATTTACTTTAGGTGGTCCTTAGAAATTGTAAAATCAAGGTGTCATTGTTTTGAGTATTTGATACAACACAGACTGCACAGAAGAAAACATGTCCAATAGCTCTTTTATTGCTGTGTGTGTGTATTTGCTGCTGCATGAATGCTTTTACTGAGCAGTTCCCTAGCAACAATAGGAAGTATACACACACATAACAGCAAGGTCATCTCATAAGCCTCGTTTTAATTTTTTGCAAAATAAGGAAAGCAGGCAAAAACATGTGAGAATGCAGACTTCATGCAATTTTTCATACAACTGATCTGAATAAATGAAAACAATGATGGAAAATAAGAATGATAGTTCTCGACTACCAGACTACCAGAACTTCAGTTCCTGCCTTACCTGCTCTTGTGTTGGTATTTGAGTCTCATTGTCAAGAGCATTATTGACTAGATATGCAGCCAGATTCTTTCGACCATGGTAGTCAAAGAGGTCTAACAGAGGCCCATAATGCTGCAACTGGAGGATTGTTAAGAGACTGTTATAGTTGTCAACTGGAATCTTCATCAGCCGGGTTAGCTCTCGAGATACGGGACTGTTGTATTCGATCCTGCAACAGAGTAACACTGCTCAAGTGACAGCCCTTCTGTTAAGATCAGTGTTTCCCAACCAAAATAAATGCAACAAATGTGCCTATATAGACACACAATAAAGTAGATCATATCACAGTAAGGCACATGGTACATAAAATAGATGAAGGAAAATAAAATTGGGCTCCTCTCTAGAGATCTGTGGTAATACTAGAATTAAATTCTCATGAAATGTGCAGTATCCTTTATTACTGTGGCTTTTTGTATTTATGTACCTCTATGTTTGTAAAGTACTGTGAAAGTAAGTTTCACACAAGTATGTTATGACAAGAGGGACAGACTTGGGGAGGTGGTACCTGTACTTCATTACCTGAACAGACTTCATCAGAAATGAAAGAAGACATCTCAATGAATCATTGCTTCAATGTAGATTCAGAACTAACTCCAACCATACTCTTGTATTTGCATGTTTGACTAGCCTCACTGATATTCTTGGAAGTTTTGCATTCATGAAATGCAAACCTTTCACGCAGGAACACACTTGAGTTCAGAAAGCTAACTGACTGTAAATAAAAATCTTCTCAGGCTGACACTCTGATTTTGTTAAACTAATATATATACAGTACATATTACATTATTTTCACAATATAGTACTTTCCACATACTTACAGAGGTGGCAGCTCTACATACAAAATGGTACCATCTGACAAATAAACTGTTAACATGAATTCATTGTTTTAATAAAGAAAGAATGAATGAGATAGAGATATATAAAAGGTATAAATGAAATGCAGAAAGGAGTGAAAGATGATGATAAGAAAGGAAAAAATGATTCCCAGTTCAATTTCAACAGCTTTTCCATTGAATTCTCATATTGCTGTCTTCAGTGCTCTCTAATTCAAATAATTTGCTACGGTTTGTCATTAATTTATTGATATGGGATTCTAACACAAAACTGCCATTACAGAACTATATCTGTGTAACCCCTTCTAGCCTCTCATGGAATTCAAGGTTTCTAGGGGACACATTACGTGAATGACTGGTTTATATGATCAGGTAATAAAGCTTATTATGAAATAAAATTAAACCCAAAAGAATAAATGTAAATGCAAAGAATGTACACCACCATGCACATATTCATGACATTCTTCACACACAGTATTGACAAGAGGCAATCTGGGAAGCGTTATTCATATCTGTAGTTATGACTTACTTACTTACTCATGGAGCTGAGCCCTTCTGGAGGATCTGCAATTCTGCAGCTACTCAAGAATTTCCCACGATTATATGGAACCCGAACGTTCACTACCATGTTCACAAGAGCCCTCCATTGGTCCTTATCCTGAGCCAGATCTATCCAATTCATACCATCCCATCCTATCTCTCTAAGATCCACTCCAATATTGTCCACCCCACCTACGCCTTGGTCTTCCGTGGTCTCTTTCCTTCTGGCTTTCCTACCAGTATCCTATATGCATTCCACGTCTCCCCCATTCGTGCTACATGACCTGCCCACCACATCCTTCTTGACTTGATCATTCTAATTATACTTCGAGAAGAGTACACAAGTTATGAAGCTCCTCATTATGCAGTTTCCTCCAACCTCCTGTCACTTCACCTCTCTTCAGTCCAAATATTCTCCTCAACACCCCGTTCTCAAACACCCTCAGTCTATGTTCCTCCCTTAATGTCAGAGACCAAGTTTCACATCAATACAGAACCACAGGCAAAATTATAGTTTTGTATATTCTAATTTTTATGTTCTTGAACAACAGACAAGAAGACAAAAGGTTCTTGACTGAATGATAGCAAGCATTATCAGAGTTCAATCACCTCTTAATTTCCTCCTGAATCAGGTTTCGATCTGTTATCGCTGTTCCCAAATATCTGAACTGTACCACATTTTCAAAATATCTGTTTCCTATCTTTATGTCATTATTTTACCCTGCATTTTGGTAACGAGACAGTAACATATACTTAGTTTTCTCTGTGTTTACTTCTAGACCAACCTATTTACTTGCGTCAATTAAAGTTTGTGGGGTTTTTGTGGTATCTACATTATCACACAGTGGATACACATCATCGGCGTAGACCAACAGCTGATGTGTCCCATTTAATTTCAGTCCCACCTGGTTTCCCTGGACCTTCCTAATTGCATATTCTAAGGCAAAGTTGAAAAGGAGTGGCGATAAAGCATCTCCTTGTTTTAGACCATTCTGGATAGGAAATTTATCAGAGAAATGTTTACCTATACGGACTTTACTATACGTTTCATTTAAACACATTTTAATCAACCTAACTAGTTTCATGGGTATCCCAAACTCTATTAGAATATTGTACAATACTTCCTTCCTAACTGAATCATATGCTTTCAAGAAGTCTATGAGTAGCTGATGTACTCGCATCATACTCCCATTTTTTCTCAAATATCTGACGAATGCAAAAGATCTGATCTGTAGCTGATCTGTTACGTCAAAACCCACACTGATGATCCCAAATAATTTCATCTATATATGGACTTAACCTTGAAAGAAGAATATTGGACAAAATTTTGTATGAAGTTGATAGCAGTGATATCCCCTGATAATTACTACAGTCAGTTTTATCACCCTTCTTGTGCACTGGTACAATAATAGACTCCTTCCACTGACCTGGCAATTTTTAGAAGTAATTAGACTGTGGATCTTAGAACGTGTATTTCTCCTTCTGCTTGAATAAGTTCTGCTGGAATTTGATCACTACCTGGCGAATTATACCGTTTCAATTGTGCAATAGCACTTTCAACCTCAAAAGTGCTAGGATCAGTTATCAATGGCTCAGCTGTATGGATTTCTGTCTGCCTAACAGCACTGACCCTATGTACATTCAATATCTGAGAGAAGTAGTTCTTCCACCTATTCAAAATGTTGTGGGAATTTGCAAGCAGATCACCATTCTCGTCCTTCACTAAGTTACTACTACTACTACTACTAACCCCTCTTAAAGTCATTTGTTCCTCTATACAGGTCTCTTAATGTTCTTGTTCTTACTGTTCATTGCAAGCTCAACAATTTTGTCTTTCAGATATTCCCTCCTTTTGTTCCTGAAATGCCTGCTGGTTTCACGTCTTATATTATTCAGATTATCCCCATTCAACTCGCTTGGATCCTGTAACCATTGCAATTTGGCCCGCTTTCTTTGATCTAATAATTTTGAGCATCCTTCATCGAACCATGGCTTATCCTTCTTCGGTTCATAATAACCTAAACTCTCTTTGGCAGACATTTTTATATTCTCTCTAATAGTTTCCCAAGTTTTATTAACATCCACCTCAGTTTCCAAGTTTTCCAAAGCTGTGAACCTATTTGAGATTTCAACACAAATACTCTTCTTTACCCTCTACCTCACTTAATTTCTTGAAATTGAACCTCTCCATATGAACTCTGTGTGTTGTTTGTTTGCTCACTGCCAGTCTTTCCCTAACCTTTGTCACCACCAGGTGTGGTTAGTATCACAATCTGCTCTCCTGAAAGATCGGACATCAAGTACACCTGAGTGTCGTCTCCTGTGTATCAAAATTTGGTCTACTGGATTGTGTATCTTCCCATCAGGAGATGTCCAAAATAAATTTATGGATGTTATGATGTGGGAACATTGTACTTTTGACAGTAAGATTTTTTGATGTGGCAAAGTTTACAACTCTAACTCCATTATCATTACTAATTTCATGCAAACTCTCATTCCCAGTTGTTGGTTTGAAAATGTCTTCCCTCCCTACTTCGGCACTGAAATCTCCTAACAAAATTTTCATAGGGTACTTTGGGAATTTATCGAATACATGTTCTAGTTCTTCATAGAATCTATCCTTTATGTCATCAATCTTATCTTCTGTAGGGGCGTGAACATTCATAACAATGATATCACACCAGCGACCTTTTAGTATTATATATGATATCCTATCACCAATGAATTCTACCCTCTTAAACTACTATCGATATACTGTCAGAGAATATAATACAGAACATACAGAGAAAATCAGACTGTGGCTTTATACTAATGTTGACTATGCACAGTGAGGAAGCAGGTAAGGGGAGGATGAGGTATTTGTGATGTTCATACTGCAACAAATCAGTCTTTCAATTCAAGACAGAATTTCATATCACACCGAGCTTCTTACACAAATACATTGGAAACCTTATTTAATACTCCTAAATTTAAGAAAGGTTCAATTTCAATGATCCAGAGTCACTAATCTCAGATAAAGTTTTCTCTATTTAAGATTTTCCTCAGTTTAGTGTTCAAATCCTCAGCCCCCCAAAGAAATCTTAAACAAAGGTTCCACTGTAATTTAAATATGCAGAACAAACAAATAAATGTGACATGGCAAGAGAACACTGCATCTGCCTCAGCAAACATCTGAAGGTGGAAACAACACAAACTGGAACTTTCCAATTCTACATGAAAATTGTCATTTTCATAACTTAAAGACAAAATGGATTATCAGCCTGATGCAACATAATTACTCAATGAAAGGCTGGCAACTGAAGTCCAGCTCAAGGTGGTGTGTACATATGATGTGGAGGAATAGGTTTTCCTTTGGGTGAAGTCTTCACTTTGCAGTTAGTTACTGTCATATTTTGAAGTGCTGTTGATAAAATACCAGTGTATTTAAATGTGACATTTAATTATACAATTGATGACACAAAAGCAAATCTGCTGCCATAAGAACATCAGGCAATGAAAAAATGTGACTGTAATGTCAATCAACTTGGCAGACGGCACAAAACTACCACCATAACAGCAGAAAATCGAATGAACTTTGTCTAAGGCACAGCACACGATAAGGCTACTAATCACATGTCAAACCAAGTGATAGGTGATTAAATGAACCAATGGGGGACTACTTACAAGTTGTCTGGAACAGGAGACCAGGAGTATTGTTGAGAAAGCAAGGAATGCTTGTGTTGGTTCCACTTGAAGTAATTCAGCACTAGATGCTAGATCTATTATTCATGCAGCAAATACTGACCATGTGGTCATA